AATCTTTGGCACTCAAGATTATTCTTTGAATGTTCATACATTATTCTTGAGTGTTCATCATTTTGTTTATTCAAACACTATAATTTGGTTATTCTTAACTTGATTATTAGTGTTATTGAGAGATCTGGGATCAACGTACATGGCAAAGCAATGAAATTTTTCTTGCTGCTCTATAAGATCCCGAACAGGTATTTCCTACTTTTGCATCCATACCTGTTGTTTATGAATATCTTGATGTATTCCCCGACGATTTACTGGGTGTACCACTGGTACGGGAAGTCAAATTTATCATCGATCTAGTCCTAGGAGCTTCTCCTATATCAAAGGCTTCCTACCTAATGGCTCCAACTGAAATGAAGAGCTTAAAACTCAACTTGATGATCTATTGAATAAAGGTTTCATTCGACCCAGTGTTTCACCCTGGGGAGCTCCAGTTCTTTTCATTAAAAATAAAGACGGTACGATGCGTCTTTGTATCGATTATCGGGAACTTAATAAAGTAACGATCTGTAACAAGTATTTGTTTCCGAGAATCGATGATCTGTTCGATCAATTACAAGGGGCACGGTACTTTTCCAAAATTGATCTTCAGTCTGGATACCATCAACTTCGTATCCGAGATTGTGATATTCCAAAAACCTCATTTAAAACTCGCTATGGGCACTATAAATTCTTAGTAATGCCTTTTGGGCTAACTAATGCTCCAGCGGTCTTTATGGATCTTATGAATCGGGTTTTTAAGGATTATCTCAATGAATTTGTTATCGTGTTTATTGATGACATCTTGATTTACTCGAAGTCAAGAAAACAACATGATCAACATCTTCAAATTGTTTTGAAGACTCTTCGAACAAAAAGGTTGTATGCAAAACTTTCCAAATGCGAGTTCTGGCTCGATCAAGTGTCTTTTCCCGAGCACGTAATCTCTACTGAAGGTGTCAAAGTCGATCCGACGAAAATTGAAACCATCGCTAATTGGTCACGAGCTACAAACGTATCTGAAGTTCGTGGTTTTCTGGGTCTAGCTGGTTATTACAGACGATTCATTGAAGGTTTCTCTAAAATATCTCTGTCGTTGACCCGATTACTCTGGAAAAGAGTCAAATTCAATTGGGGTGCTGAACAAGAATCTAGTTTTGAGGAATTGAAACATCAATTGGTTACCACACCTATTCTTGTATTGCTGTCTGGCACTAGTGGGTTTCAAGTTTACAGTGATGCTTCAAAGAAAGGTCTCGGTTGTGTTCTTATGCAACATGGAAAAGTGATCGCATATGCTTCTCGTCGATTTAAGCCTTATGAGGTCAATTATCCGACTCACAACCTCGAATTGGCTATAGTGATCTTTGCACTCAAGATCTGGCGTCACTGTTTGTACGGTGAGACCTGTGAAGTTTTCACTGACCATAAAAGCCTCAAATACATCTTTACTCAAAAAGAGTTAAATATGTGTCAACGAAGGTGGCTCGAACTTCTGAAAGATTACGATGTTCGGATACAGTATCATCCGGGCAAAGCTAATGTAATTGCTGACGCTTTAAGCCGTAAAGCTGTGGAACAAGTTTCTTCTTTAATTGTTTCTACAGAGTTGGCTTTGGAAATCGAACGGTTCGGACTAGAAATCTATCTGAGTTCGCAAACAAAAATTCTATCGAATCTAATGGTAGAACCGACTCTAATATCTCGAATCAAAGAATCCCAACAAAATGATAGTGAATTATGGGCAAATTCCCAGCAGGCACAAGAGAATTCTAGTTCAGAGTTCAGAATCGATGATGATCACGTGTTGTGGTTTCGGGATCGTCTTTGTGTTCCGAATAACTCGGAGCTTAGAGATCTAATTCTGACCAAAGCTCATAACTCTATGTTTTTGGTTCATCCCGACACAACAAAAATGTATCGTGATTTGACAAACCATTTCTGGTGGATTGGAATGAAACGAGATATTGCCGACTTTGTAGCTCGTTGTCTCACTTGTCAACAAGTTAAAATTATACATCAACGTCCGGGTGCTATTCTCCAATCGTTGAACATTCCAATATGAAAATGGGAGAACATAACTATGTATTTTGTAGTCGGATTACCCCGTACGATCGTGAAACACGATGCAATTTGGTAGTGGTTGACCGACTCACAAAATCGGCTCATTTTCTTCCTGTCCAACAAACTTGGTCAATTGATAAGCTGAACGAAGTTTTCCAACGTGAGATTGTGCGTCTTCATGGCACACCTGTATCGATTACCTCCGATCGAGATCCACGTTTTACATCTCGATTTTGGGAAGGTTTACATAAAGCTTGGGACACATGTTTGAATTTTAGTACAACCTTTCATCCGCAAATTGATGGGTAATCTGAACGTACAATTCAAACATTGGAGGATATGCTCTGAGCATGTGCGTTGGAATGGCATGGAAGTTGGGATAACTACTTGTATCTAATCGAGTTCTCCTATAATAATAGTTGGCAGTCGAGTATCGGCATGGCTTCGTATGAAGCACTTTATGGCCGAAAATGTCGAACACCGACTTGTTGGAATGAAGTTGGAGAACGTATTTTAGAAGGCCCAGAATTAGTACAAGTCACTACCGAGAAGGTCGAAATTGCACGTCAAATGATGAAAGAGGCTCAGGCTCGTCAAAAGAGCTACACCGACAAACGACGACGACCTATCAAGTTCCAATCTAATTTGTATCCCATCCTATGTCAACTCACATTATTATTAAACCTTCCCCACATTTTTCATCATTGCTCCATTAACCTTAAATTATAAATATGTGCCAAATATAAATTGTTTGATGTTCAAATCAAAGAACAAAAATGTCGTTGTGCCATGTGAATGTTACCTTGAACCCTACTTCAACATTATGCACAGCCAAGTTCTCCACTACATAATCAACTTCAACACCAGTAACCTACCATGAATAATAAATGCATAATTGATACAAGAAACCATAATTCATAAAAATTTAAAGCAGTGAAAACCTCTTGTACGAAGGGTAGATTGAAACCTCTTGTACAAATGGTAATTAGCCCTCCTCATGTTGTAGTAATACAAATATGAAGACCTTGATGTGGATCATATTGGGTTCAACTGTAAAAAAAAAGTTGGCAATGGTTTGCTTTCTCAATGGCAATCACAAGGGTATAAAATGCAAAAGATCAATGATTAAGCTTGATGGGTAATGTAAAATGCATTAAAATTAACTAAATTAATGCATCTAAATATGGTGATGAAAGATTTGATAATATCTAGATTACCGACTTTTGGACCATGAGTTTTAGTTCAACATGTGATTGAAACATGAAAGTAACAGTTAAATCATTCTGATAATTGAACGAAAGCTTATACAAGTTCAGTTAGACTGACTTGTAAACTCCAAAAGGTTTTCTAGAAGTTGAAGCTAATAGAAATACCATAAACCCATAGAAGTGCGTCAGAGATGAAATGAAGTAAAACACTACCCAGTCATAAAGCAATAGAGACAATAACCTCCCAATAACAAAAATAAAAATCAAGGAACGTAAAAAAATATAACATCATAAACCCATTTGAAGCAGAAAACATATCAATTATAAACATTGCAAATGGACCTAAGAGTGTGCCCATTTGAAGTAGAAAATGGGGAAAAGTGAGATGCGTACCAATTTGAAACTGAGAAATAAATAAATCGATGGGAAAAATCATGGCTTAAGTGAGTGATTGATGCGTACCTATTTGAAGCAGAGAAATAGAGAGATCAATGGGAGAATTTAAACAAACCTATGATTTCAAATCAAAACATTCATTTAGCTATTAATCAAAATATTTAAAACAACCCTTAATGAATGTGACGACGTCAGAATTACATTTTAGATCATAAAAGCATTATCTTTAATCAAAAGATAAAGAGTAGAGCTAAAAAAATATCAAACACACCTTATGAACATCAGGATGAGAAGCCAAAGAAGCACCCACTTCTGAACCTAATCTAGTTAGAATATTGAGAGCACCAGGCTAGATCACCTCCCTACATAACTTACCAGTTCCAAGAAACTGGATGATCACCTGTCAAAATGTATGTTGGTTGATTGTCAAATGTATTAAGGTTAAATATGAATGTATGTGCAGTAAGGTTAAATATGAATGTATGTGCAGAAAGGTTTGTGCAGATTAAGAAAGCAGCAAGGCTTGTGCAAATTCTGAATATTAAATATGGTTTTTACCTGAATCCCTCTTAATTAGCCGTTAATTAAAATATATTAGTTTTAATGACCTTAATCACTGATTTATGTCAACTATACAATGTTTGATGAAATTTTAAACTACTTTGACTAATTGCAATATTAGACCCGAAATGATATTAAAAATATAATAATTTGAAAAAATAAATGAGATATTTATAAAAGACTTGAAAATGTAATCACTTTTACAAAAAAAATAGTATTTTAGATTTTTTGGATTATTTTAATATTTTTAAAAATGATGTAATTAAGAGATTGTGAAWAAAATAAAATAAAATAATTAATATCGTGCAACTCAGAGAGTCATAGTTATTTACCAAAAAAAAAATCATCCTTATTATATTTTTTAATAAATAAATTATCTAACTCTTAAAAATTAATTACTTGAATATTGCTTAAAAAATCATCCTTATCAACCCAAAAAATATTACATATTATATATTGCTTGATTCACTATTTAAATAAGTGGGAAAACGATTTTTAAAGAATGGCTTTCTTTATTTTAATCTATCTAGATAGTTGTTAAATAAATATTTTTATAATACGTAAGGATTTAATAATATTATTATTATATTTAATTTAATATGTAATTTAGTAATATAAAAAAATATTTTAAAATAAATAACTATTAACAATTACATTTTTAAGAATCGTTATTATATACAATAAATATATATATATATATATTATATAGCTTTAGGGGTGCCGTTAATATGAAATAGGGATGCCATTAATCTCCCCAAATTAAAATCTAAACCAAAAACTGATTTATTAGACTTGTGACACTTTCAACTATTTAGTGCCCATTTGTAAAAAATGATTTTCAAGAAATTAAAGTGATTCACATGTTCCTGATTTGAAGAAGATGATGATGTTCCAGTCTTATTGAAGGCGGTGCTTGTTGAATCATGTAAGTATGATTTTGGGGTTTCAATTTCTGTTTTGAACAACATCAATGATTTTGGGGTTTCAATTTCAGTCACTTTCTAATGTCAGAAGACATCACCAGCAACAGCGATGATAATAACCCATCCACGCCATCAAATACACCCTATCATCATCAAGTTAAAACGGAACAAGATATGATGAGGCTTTGGGGAATCCTTATTTTCGGAGTAATTGGAGCTACTGCCACTACTTTCGCTGTAAACATCCAATCTTCTTCTTTCACGCTATTTTTTTACACCTCAATGCATGTTTTAAGGAATTTCTCATGAATCATATTATTAGATTGCAACTCCAACATGACTTTTCATTTGTTCGGTGTAACAACGTTTTCACATACGGGGTTAACTTTAGGCCCAAGGAATTGATGGCAGGAGCATTCAGGCCTTCTAGCTCATAGCCTGCTTTCGAGCTTTTCAAATTCTAGATGCTCAATCAGTGATGATGATGAACAAGATTGTGTTCATGAGTAGATAGGTGAAAGGATTTTTCCTTGAGGATGTAACTCATAATGATGAAAAGGCAGATTCTTTTGTATTTAGGCTACCTTAACTAATTTACTAATTCACGTCGAGATGTTTATATTGAACAAGCAGCAGCTGCTTTTTTGTAAGCAATAACGCTGAATGGTGAAATATGCTCATCATATATGCTCTTTGCTATAGCTTATTGAATAGGGTAAGACATGATAGTGTTTGATGGCATGCAAGTATATCATTTTGCGCACTAGTTTTTCTGGTCCAAGTGTATCTGATGATGAGATTTCATTGATACAGAGCTAATTCCAATCGACTTATTGGAGGGTCCCATTGTCGTGTATCCAGTAGGAATTAAACCTACGAATTCGCCATTTGGTGTTTTTGCTTGAGCTGTACGAGATGAAACTCATATACGGTTATTCCATATTAATCCGAATCAATCCATACTCTCCCATTTTTAATAGATTCTCAAGAAGAGAGGAGCCAAGGTGGCCCCCCCACCGCCTGCATCCCATGATTGAATCAAAAGTTGGATCTACATCGGATCTCAAGATCATTGAATCATTTATTTCTCTTGTTTCTCTTGCTATTGAAATCCGCCCCTATTGCGGTGGAAGAACAAATACTGACTATTTATACCGGAACAAACGGTGGTTTGCAAGTTTTCTTCTTAAAACCTGCACAGAATTCACGCCTGATTGGGACTGGACCGTGCAGTTCTTATATGAGAGGGAAAATCCAATACAATTAGAAAATAGCATCGTGAGCATAAGATATATATATATATATATATGTATATATATATATGTGTATATATGTGTGTGTGTTGCTTGGCCTTTGCATTGTTTCTCTATTCCTCTTCTTTGGATGGCATGATTTCATCAACCTTTAAATTCTAGTAGATTTTCTGCTTTATTCTTTCGAGCATGAAGTTCTAGCATGCAATGTTAATGGCATATGTTTGTATGAAGTTGGGTATGACACCTTGAACAATTTGACAGATCAATCAACTGCGGAGGACCGGAGATTACTTTTATTCTCAGGTAGTGATGGTTTTCTTTCATCGGAATTAGATTTATAGCTTTTATGATGTATCGATAGGTGAAGGTGAAATTTATTACTCAAAACAAGCGAGTATGCCTGCTGACCTACATTATTTGAAAAGGCTAGCAGTCACCTTAACACTAGAATGATATGATTTAGTTATTACATTAAATATTATTTCTATTAATTCATAGTGTATGACTTACGAGGATAACACTGCCATTGTTTAGCCAAAACACAAGGATCTTGTATTACTATTGCATAAATGATCTCTTAATATTTAAATCATCATGGATCATGCTTCAAGTCTATAAGCTTCCGGTATCAAAATGGGTGCAGTTCAATATAATTGAACTCCAATAATAGGCAGCAACAACCCCATACTAAAATTGGATTGAAGTTGGTCTCATCTCATGTTCATAGGTTAACCGTAGAGATAGAAAGGGTAGATTTGAATCTTTTCATATTTTAGGAATGTCCTTCTAGCATGGGAAATACATTTGGAGATCCCTGAAAAAGTGATGGCTATGGACCATAATTTTTTAAACTCTTATTTGTGTGGTTCAAAGTTTAGTGCATCCCCCCGACCTACCTTCTTGGGGTCTTCACGGAAACAACAACTCTACTCCTTGGTGTAGAGGTAAGTCTGCATGCATCCCACCCCTTAGATCCCATCTATGGCTGGGATATACTAGGCTTATTTGGTTTGTTACGGTAATGGTTAGTGCATTGTTACTCAATTATAAACCTGCATGTGTTTCTGGTTGTATGAATAAGCATGTGTCTATTTGTTTTGTTGCTAAACTATGTTCATTTTTACCATGAAAGTTTACTAGGTCACAGTCATCGTATAGAGGCACCACCAATGGTTCTTCCCGATCAAGTTTTCAGGAGGAAGCTCGGAAAAGGTACGCCCGACGCATGCAGGAGGAGTATGAAGAAGAGATGGAGAGAGTGGTGGGTATCTCTATATAACCTCTTATTTTGTTTTCCTGATTGCAATTTTCTCCTATTTCATCAGACAATATGTGGCAATAATCTCGGAACACATTTCTTTGAGTTGAAGCCTTTTGTCCGATGTCATATCTTTGAACATATTAATCATCTTCTGTTTATGCTTGTTTGGCTGCTGCCAAGTACTGCTGTACTAAATAGTGGTTAATCTTCTTCGTAGGAGCGTATAAGGCGCATGCAAAGTGTCTTCAATAGGGAGAAAAATAAGTATAGAAGGGGCTATGAGAGATGGAGCGAAGATAGTTCAGATGGATATCAACAACATTTTCAACGGGATGATTGGTATTGGAAAGCCGAGACAATGTATGGAAATAGGAGTAATTTTAAGGAACCCCCTCAGGCCCCTGCAAATTATTCTTTGTCCCATCACTATGCCATACTGGGTCTCAACAGGTACACCTTTGCTACGGACACCTTAACATATGTTGTTGATGTTGCTTCACTCTACTGTTCTAATAAATAGTACCTCCTCTATCTGGAGATAAATAGCCTTGTGCTCATAAAGGGTAAATTGAGAATCATTTATGGTTTTAAAATGTAAAACACTCCAAATAATTATCAATATGTTTTCTGTGAGAATTTAAATTCTTTTGTGAACCTTCTACCCCACGTTATGCCGTATATTTCTTGTCGAAATTTTGTACAATCCTCATGTTATGATATTCCCAGCCCATGAGTACTTTTAAGGAATTTGATTCTTGTTTTGATACAATTCTGTTCACCTCCCTTCTGGTCATGCTATTTGGGGGTTACAAAGTTATGTTCATATAGTTTTATGGGAAGTTGAGTTATGTTTGAAATTTTATGGAAGTACATTTTTATTGATGCTCATCTAATGAGATATAATCAGTGATCATGAGAAGAAATTGATCAAAAACAGACCAAAATGTAGTGGGGTTCTTATCAAATGTATAAGAACTGGAAACTACATAATGGGTTGTAAATGTTGCAAGAAAAATTTGGAATATTCACAAGACTCATTTAGTTTGGGATGAAACTGAAAGCCAAAAGGCTCATTTGGTTTTGTGACAAAGGTGCGAGTCTTCGTCAAATTCAGTTGAGTACAATCTGTTGAAGAACACTAGCATCCTCTATCTTTACTTTTATCTGTTGAACAGAATTATGCAAAACAACAAACTGCTATAAAAGTGAAAAGAGTTGTTGTTTGAGGCCAATAGATAATATTAATTTAGGAGTTGATCTGGCTTTTGTCATTTCTAATTAAGTTATGGACTTACGATCTTTCTTCGACTTGAAAAAGAGTGGAAACAGTTTGGAAGTCATAAGGACGGTACAGTATCAGCTAGATCTTTCCATCAAATATTAGTTTCCAGTTGATTTAGTTAGTATCTTCCATCATTGTATCTTCATTCTGTCATGTTTCCCAGGTCTTGAACATTGTTGGAGATCAACTCAGTTTATGTACATACCTTTTTTCTTGCCAAAAATATGATTAGGATATGAGCCAAATTGTCAGAAATTGTTAGCCACACCCCAATTTGCTATTCGATCCGTATTCAATCTAATTGGTGGAACCATGCAGATTTTTGGTCTCCCTCTTTTCTCTTGTTTACCTTAGATAAATGGTCCATTGTTTTCTTAAGATCAAGTGAACTTACATATCCTACATGTGTCGTTTTTTGTGGCAATAGGTCAAGGAAAAATCCATACACAGATGATGAGATCAAGGTAAATGCAATTTGATTCTCTCTTTACTCTCAGTCCCAACTTTGGTTGCTTTTGTCTGTTGGCTGTATACTTGATGCTACATGGTTTTGAAATGTCTAGATAATAACACTCATGACTGCTTTTGAGAGAAGAAGAACCTCCATGCTTTAAGACTAGACTGGTTGTGCTTTGTTTGGCAGAGAATTATATTGATATTTGATAAAATTTCCTTTGGCATGCATATAAGTGAGGGTGGAGATGGTGATCTTGAGATGCAATTTTCATGAAGTATATATGTCTCGGGATTGAAAAAATGTGTGGGATGTTGTATAAGTAAAGGAGTTGGGCATAAAAACGAAATGAATTACATGATGCAGATGGCATTCAGAAACAAGGCAAAACAATATCACCCTGATCAAAATCAAGAAAATAAAGGTATTGGAATTTTTCATCCCTAACTTTTGTTTGTATATATATATATACTGATAAATAATATGATGTGTTTGATGCAGAGGTTGCGGAAGCAAGGTTCAAGGAGGTTATGAGTTCTTATGAGGCCATTAAATCTGAAAGAAAGAACATCAAGTAGATGGAATGAAACACATTTACAAGTTGCTGATTGCTAACCAATACCCAATTATTTAATTTTATTATAGTATGTCTTGTGTGGTTTTGACAAGTAATGTAAATAATAATAATAATAGTCTTATTTATTTATTAGACTTGACTATGTCTAAACCTAATTAATAGATACTTGTTAGGAGCTGTGTGATGTAACGGTATGTAAGAATAACCTTGGTATCTCAAGAAAAATGCTATTTGCATCCTTTATGTATGTGTATGTCATGCATTGAGAATGTAAAAAATAGATATTCATGTATTGAGATTGTAAAAAGTAGATTTTGATACAATTGAATGCAAAAAATAGAAATGTTTTACTTTTATAGGTGTATCCAAGTTAATGACCTGACCGGTTTTAAATGTTTTATATTTTGGTAAAGTTCATCAATCTGAAGGGAAACAAACAAGCAAGAAATGGAGTTGAAAAGCTGTGACGTGAATCTATGGAAGGAAGCATTATCAGCCTACGAATCCAGAATCGAGGCCATGGATAAACCCAATCTGGTGTCATTAGACCGCTTCTATTGCAAAGAGCTACCGTCTCTTATTCATCAACGGAACCCTAATCCTCACATCACCACACCTGAGCTCTCCAAGCTCATGCAATGGAAGCTCGGTCGCGGAAAATGGAGGTCTCTTCTACCCTACTAGTACTAGTACCACCCTCAGATTATGATTTTGCAATGATGTTAATTAATTGGTTAATTGCAGACCACGTTTGTTGGATTTTGTATCATCTCTGGATGAGGAAATGGTAAAATCAGCTTCAGAGAAGGCATTCAGATCGTTACCAGATGTTTCAAAAGCTATTAGTGAGCTTACAGTGTTGAAGGGGGTTGGTCCTGCGACTGCCTCTGCTATCTTGGCTGCTTATGCACCTGATATTGCACCTTTCATGTCAGATGAGGTATTAGTTAATCTTTGTGTTTGCATCTATAATTGTCATACTAATAACGAAAATGATGAATGAAGGCAATGGTGGCAGCTCTGGGGAACTCAAAACAATATACATTGAAACAATACCTTGTGTTTGTGGAGAAACTTGAGGCAAAAGCAAAGGTTAGTAAAGTGATGAAATTTGTATATGTTTTGCTTGACGACTACTAGTAGTAGTAGTAAAATGCAACATCTCCTTTTTAGGTGTCCATAAGAAAATAGAATACTGAGTGCATTTAGGTGTGTATTGTATATGCATTAGGAATTAAGTGCAATGGGGGAGGTATTCACAGCCTCGGATGTGGAAAGAGCTTTATGGAGTGGTGCCAAGTCGAAGAATAATAATGACAGTGATGATATCAAGTCCACCAGTAAAAAGAAGAGGAAGCGGTAACTCTATCTGAATCTGAATCTGAATCTTAATCTTATTATGTTTATGTGCAAACTAATATTAAGCTAACAAATCTGAATCTGAATCTTATTATGTTTATGTGCAAACTAATATTAAGCTAACAAATCTGAATCTGAATCTTATTATGTTTATGTGCAAACTAATATTAAGCTAACAACTGGGGGTAGTCTTGCAATGCTATCTGTTTTAGTTCAAAGTCTTGGTTTGATGGTGACCGAATTTCATCATCTTCATTCTTCATTACTTGATGTTGATGCCTGTTTCTTGTTTGTTTTCAAGATCAGACAAATGCTATGCTATTTAATTTTAAATCACAATTCAAATGAATCCTGGTGGTTTGTGTGTTTGGATTGGTGCACAGAAATAGAGACTTGTATCAATTCCAAGTTTTGCTTATTATGCTTGCTTTAATTGCATAACTTAAACTCGGTTTTATAGTAGCAACAACACAATTGCTTGTTTATTAGATACCACACGAAAACACTTTCTTATTAGTTACTCCTACTCCTACTCCTACTCCTATATCATAATTGTTTCCTATCTTTCTCAAAACTAAATACAGTAAATTGTCATCCCATTTGTTTCGTGCCCTAAAAATGACAAAACACATTGTTGTTTGTTATCTTATCTTAGCGGGTGTTTGGGATTGCTTATACAAACAACTTATTGACTTATTCCAGTGTGACATCGGTAATAAGCACTTTTGCGTGTTTGGATAAACAACTTATACCGGTGCCAAACCGGTAATAAGGAGTTTTTGAAAAAATTAAACTATTTTAACTTAGAATAAATTGATAAGGACTTTTGTATAAAAACATAAGTTGTTTTAAATAAGTCCGTTAACAAATATGAATGAATACGATCAAACACAATTTTTTAACGAACAAACATCAACACAAAAATTTCGTTAAGTTAAACAAACAAACACAGTCAAGTCTTAGTTAGGTTTGTTTAAAACCCTAAATACAAGTGCTTCTCTAAACAAACCGACCTTTTGTTTTTCCCTCATCAAATTTAAATTCAATATATATATATATATATATATATATATATATATATTATTGACTTGTAATAAGTTGGACCAAGCCAACTGGCGATTTCCGACAAGTCTTTTCTAATTAAGTAAATTCAATACATTATGGTTTGCAATTCATTTCGTTTTTCGTCCCTAAAACTAACTAGCTGTTAAGAATGTTTGTTAAATAAGTTATTTTCATTACTTAATCGTTTCCTTTTTTACTTTCCCCTGATTAAACATGTAACATCCTATTTTGAGGGTTAAGAAGAGATTATTTATTTTACAAGTTTGGAGGTGAAAATGTTTTGAAGAGAAATCAAAGGGGATGTAGTGTTAAAAAGAAAATGAAAAAGAAAAAAAAAGAGAATGGGCTTTGTAAGTCTAGACCCAAGTCCAAGCCCATGTCTTTTATTGTACGAATTCTTCTTCTCGACCCAAAACAGAAATCGCAGACTCTACTTGGACGACTCTTCTTCAACGTCGAACAATCATCTTGTCCATCTTCATCATCTCCCCAATTCTCTTCTAATCTATTGTTGCTAAGGTACTGATCGGGTTCGTATTAACACATCACAGACTTACAACCAGGACCAAAGACAAGTATACAATTAGTCTCAATATCGTCTTTCAAGTAATAAAATGGTACAAGTACCGGATATCGTCCACAGAGATTGTAGTAAAAGTTTAGACGAAAGTAATTTTAAGAAAATGATTTCAGAAGGTGAATTCGAAGACTTTGATTTGAACAAAGTTGACACAACTAAAAATTAACAGGAAATAACAGATAATAAAAGCAAGCCATTGTGTAAGACTTAGGATGAGATGTAAATACTATTTCCAGTAGATCAATGCTGTCAAAATGCTACGGCACGAGACCATGCTGACAAATTGCTACAACATACAATTAGTAACAACTATTTTCACCATTTATTTTGAAGGTATTCCTCTCGGACTTCACCAATGCACTRATATTATAGCTTTCAACCCATATCTCTATGAGGTATCCRGACCAGTAAAAGTGACAAATGGTGTCATCAAAATATATGAATAAACAAATCTCTTTGTTAAAAATCACTCTCTCGAGTGGATTCCCATATCATTCAAGTTGACGTGTTCTGAATGGCTCATCTCTGAGTCCATTCYACTTTAACACTTCAAAGTGATCAACCTGTCGAGAATTAACAATTTAGAAAATACGGATAACAAATCTCTTTGTTAGCAACTCTCTCAAATCTTCTTCCCATATCATCCAAATTGACGTGCAATCAATGGCTCAGCTTAGAGTTTATGGCACTTTAACACTTTTCAGTGATCAACTCGTCAAGAGTGTCATTGGTTTTATAAAACTTGAAATGAAATAATGAAACATGGTTGTTACATAAAAGGGTCTACCTTATTTTGATTTACAAACTCACCCTTTCCGTCATACACTCTAGCTAATAAATTTAGTTACTCATGACAGAAAGTAATTTGCAAGAAATATAAAATACGATAAATAAAGACATAAAATAAATTACATAAAGTAAATGAAGGGAAATAAAATGCGAAAAGCATAATAAATAAATGACGTAAATAAAATGCGAGTAAGAGTAATAAATAAATGACGGAATTTAAAGATGCAAGTAAATAAAGAAAGCGATTAAAAGAAAGTTTGAAATTAGCCAAAAGATTACTAGTATTTCTTAGAGAGAATGTTCTTCAAGTAGTAAGACAACTACTTAAGAAATGGAGGAGAGGTTGATCTAAAAACTAACCCCAACATCTCTATTTATACTAAGGTAGAGATGAGGGTATTTTAGACAATTCACAAAAACTTAGTCCTAAAGGTAGCGTTTGGTACACAGACTGTACAGGACGGGACGAAACGAGACGGGACAGAATGGGACAGAACGGGACGGGACAAGACTAATTGTCTGTCATATGTTTGGTACGACTAGGACAAGACAAGACAAAACTGTTAAAATGACATGTAACACTCTAAAATAAGGGTATTTGAAATAAATGGAATATTGAAGATTAATTATACTTTAACTAATTGAATTAAAATAATATTAATAATAATAATAATAATAATATCTAATGAATAATTTTTTTTGGAAATGTCATTCAAATTTTAAAAGAAAAAAAAATGTGGGAAGATTTCAATGAAAATTAAATAATTTATTAATTAGTGAAAAGAAATTGAGTGTAATGGATTGGAAAGATGACAAAATTTGTGGTATTCTCCATGTATATAAATAACCTTCTTCTTTTTTTCAATAGAGAGTGTATATATATATATATATATATATATATATATATATATATATATATATATATATATATATATAGAAGCTATTCTATAAAGCTTCAAGCCTAGTGAAAAGAAAAAAAAAAAGGGGGGGAACTTGGGGAAGGACGAGACTGCAAATCGAGGGTGGGAATTCGAGTTCGTAAACGTTCAAGCATCGATAAGGTAATATTTTATGTTTAAGATAACATCTTATTTTTTTATGTAAAAACTTATTAACGTCTTGATTGGCAGGGTTATTTGGTTGCAATGGCGGCCTAAAGGTTATCGATTAATAGTCATCGCCTTGAACGGCGACGGTTAAAGCGACGGTGGTTTAAACCCGATGTCGTATCGTTTTTAGCCTCGATTGAACTATAAAACAAATGTAAGACTCCTTATAATTCTTTTAATTAGGATTGGAAATATTATAAAATGTCAAATTGACGTTATAGGACGTTGTAAAACTTAAAGCTTGGGGTTTAACAATATTCAACATAGGTTAATCGAGTGACTAAGGGGTAACTTCAAAAGTCACTAGGTTTGATCTTATTAACATAGTTTTGGCTTTGGGTCGATTTTTGAAGAAAACCTAGTCATTAATTGACTATTATGGTTTAAYAATTGTAGGTTATTAGTGAGGGAGATCATTCGACAATCTACACAGTCAGGTGAGTATTCATGAGACTTTAACTGGGATGCATGCTTATGTACAAATTATTTGAGCATTACGATATATTTTTTTTATGTACATGTTTATGGGTTTATTACATGTATATGAATTATTATTGTGAGTTGCATGCTATTTGTTTACATTTTTTTTAAAACATCAATTAGCATGTTATAAAAGAAATTTATATTTTTGTCGGGTATGGGAAGAGGTCAAAAGTCAAAAGGGATGACACATCCTAGGGAGGGGTAACTGGACAAGGGATAGCCGTGTAACTCGGGGAAGTGCCGATGACAGTAAGACATTAACCCGACGGGAAATTAAGAGATCTCATTATTATTTCAAAAGGGTTTGAAACAAATGTGCATGTTATTTTATTTGGGGTATTGTTTATTTTATGCATGATGTGATATGTATGATTGTGCATAAAAACCATGAACTCACCAAGCTTTATAAAGCTGACTATTAGTATGCATCTCAGGAGTTGGGTATTCAAGAACGGAAAAGAGCAAAGGTTCTGCGTAGGAAATAGAACTTTTATTCGAGTTATGAATTATAAAATCCGTAGTATTTTAATTGAATCTATATGTAATGTAACCCGATATGAGATGAGTTAGTTTTGAGATATTAATTACGATTAAATTATTTTAAGACTTCCGCTGCAATAAGGCTTTATTAGCCGCTAGAATTTTGATTTTATTTTATCTTATTACGTGGCACCTTGTATTTGAAATGAGGGTGTTACAAATTGGTATTAGAGCCATTAGTTTAAGAGAAATAGGTATAATATATATATATATATATATATATATAGACTTGGGATCATGTGAGACCAGCCTATTTTCGTGAGACCGGCTTTTTACACTTGAAACTTCACAGCAAAATGTTGTGAAGGTGACTTTTTTCTAACCTTCACAGTGTTTTTGCTGTGAAGTTTATATGTAAAAATGTGGTCTCACGGGTCTCACGAAAACAGGCTGGTCTCACATGAACCCAACCCTATATATATATATAGCCTAAGCTTAAACTTGTGAGGTGTTTAGTATCACTATATACGTTGCAATTAAGTTTATTTTATTAATGTGTGACTTAGTGTTTTTCTTGTGGTTTTGTAGGAAGATGGTGCACACTATACACACTAGGTCTGTTAACCGTGGGAGAGGATGTGGGCGCAAAACTGTAGGACCGTGGTACCATTCGGACTTGGCCCGCATTGTGAAAGTATTGATAGTCGTC